ATTTAAAGCTTTATACCTGCACAGTTTCTGTATCACAAGCAATATGATATGTTTGTATGTCACTGTAACAGTAGTGGAACCAGAATATTTTTGTGTTGGTGACCAGAATGAGACCATGACTGACATTTGGTTGGGACAGACACTGATTAGTTGTTCATTCTTTTGGTCACTCACCCACTCTTGCTCAGTGCATCATGTGGATTCGTGCTAACCTGTTCTGGGTTAAGCTGAATTGATGCCATGGCAATTGGTTTCATTTAGCTTTAAACAGTTTTTATGTCCTGACTGTTGGAGTTATCCACAAGCAGCAGACATCATGCCGATTAATATCTCACAGGTAATAACGAACACCCTACAGTTGTTAAAACGTTGATATAAATATCATTAATGCATCATTGTATTGCAAAGCTGTGTGTGATGTTAGGAGCCCATACACACAGCGCTGTGGGAGAGTGTGACTTCTGTACAGAGCGTTGCTGGTGTTGCTTTCCAGCCTCTCCCGCATCCCCCCCCTCCCCTCCGTATCCAGTGTCCTACTGAAATAATTCCAACTGGCCTCTCCTGACACTGTTCCTCAACCCACTGCTCCACCCCATCCCTGCAGCGGAGCCATAAACCACACCCATCCACACTGTGTATTAAATTGTGTTTGAATCCAGTCGTCTTTTTCTGGGTGTGAAGCATGTGTACTGTTTTAATTCACTATTTAAAAATATTATATTATGATATTACAATGTGTTTGTATATAAACGTGTCTAACACAAAAACCCCAAATCAAACCTGCCATGTTCCTGAGTCTGACCCAGTGTTTTGTGTTTAATTTTGTTGTTCTTGCTTGTAGTTTGAGTCACTATGTCCTCCGTGTGTTCCACATGTCATATTCAGTCTATTTCTCAGTGTCAAGTCCACATCTTTGTGAACTGTCTCATGTTTCCTGTTTTATTTTGATAGTCCCTGTCCTGTGTGCAGTGTGTCTGGTTTTGCTTCCCCTTGTCATGTTATGCCTAAATGATCCCAGCTCTGTCTCTCCTGTCTCCAATTCCCTGATTACTCCGGTGTGTATTTAAGCCCTGTTTTCTCCTTGCTCTGTGTTGTGTCGTACCCTCATTATGCTGTAACGGCCCTGAAAAGCTTAGAAATATGGTTTCTAACCAGATTCTTACTCTGGATGGCATTACCTTGGCCTCCAGTAACGCTGTGAGGAACCTTGGAGTCATTTTTGAGCAGGACATGTCCTTCAACACACATATTAAACACATATGTAAGACTGCTTCTTCCATTTGCGCAACATCTCTAAAGTTAGAAATATCCTGTCTCAGAGTGACGCTGAAAAACTAGTTCATGCATTTATTACTTCCAGGCTGGACGACTGTAATTCATTATTATCAGGAAGTCCTAAAAACTCCCTGAAAAGCCTTCAGCTAATCCAAAATGCTGCAGCAAGAGTCCTGACAGGGACTAGAAAGAGAGAGCAGATTTCTCCTGTTTTGGCTTCCTGTTAAGTCCAGAATTGAATTCAAAATCCTGCTCCTCACATACAAGGTCTTAAATAATCAGGCCCCATCTTATCTTAATGACCTTGTAGTACCATATCACCCTATTAGAGCACTTGGCTCTCGCTCTGCAGGCCTACTTGTTGTTCCTAGAGTATTTAAAAGTAGAATGGGAGGCAGAGCCTTCAGTTTTCAGGCCCCTCTTCTGTGGAACCAGCTTCCAGTTTGGATTCAGGAGACAGACACTATCTCTACTTTCAAGATTAGGCTTCAAACTTTCCTTTTTACTAAAGCATATAGTTAGGGCTGGACCAGGTGACCCTGAATCCTCCCTTAGTTATGCTGCAATAGACGTAGGCTGCCGGGGGATTCCCATGATGCATTGAGTTTTTCCTTTCCAGTCACCTTTCTCACTCACTATGTGTTAACAGACCTCTCTGCATTGAATCATATCTGTTATTAACCTCTGTCTCTCTTCCACAGCATGTCCTTATCCTGTCTTCCTTCTCTCACCCCAACCAATCACAGCAGATGGCCCCGCCCCTCCCTGAGCCTGGTTCTGCTGGAGGTTTCTTCCTGTTAAAAGGGAGTTTTTCCTTCCCACTGTCATCAAAGTGCTTGTTCATAGGGGGTCATATGATTGTTGGGTTTTTCTCTGTATGTGTTATTGTAGGGTCTACCGTACAATATAAAGCGCCATGAGGCGACTGCGGTTGTGATTTAGCGCTGTGTAAATAATGTGTTTCCTCTGTGGTCCTTGAGGAGTCCTAGTTCTAGTTTTAGTTCACGCTCTTGTGTTTGGATCGTTTGTGCTGCAGCAGTGAAGCTGCAGCAGTGAAGCTGCCTCTTCAGTTAACTTTTTTAGTTTGAGTCCTGCGTTTGGGTCCACCTGCTGCCTGCGAATCAGCCGAAACCATGACAAGAAACAAACACACTGGGTTACATTAATGTATGTGGTGAACACTTTGGAAGAAATCTACAGGTTGTCGTCAGACCTGGAGAGAGAATGTCTGACTAACAAATGATTTAATGAAAGAAGTTAAAGCCTAAAATAAATAAATGAATAGTGACAAACAAAATTATTCCTCTGTACTTGAATTAAGAAGGGTTTATGTTACAATAAATGTTCATGTGAGAATGTGCTAAAGACAAATCTAACTGAATTAGAATTAAACAAACTGAACGAAACATGAAGTGAATTATATCCATTTGAATGTTCAAATGTGATGTAGATGTGAATTCCCTTTGTTAAGAATAACAAGGCAAATGTATTTAAGAGATTTTAAAGTTTAAAGGTTTAAACTTTGTGCTAAATCAGAGAGAGTGAGAGAGATAAGGTGTGAATGGACATCAAATGATTTAACTTCAGCAGTTTTATTGAATGGCCAAAATGTGAAGATGTGACGTCGAGTAGGAGAGGGAGGAATAAAAGTGGGTGTAAAAGAGATTCAGGGTTCAAGTTGTGGACATTCACTTTTTAACCTTTAGTGAAACAGTAAAAGTCTGAGGATTATTCTTATTATATCCGAGCCATAATAAAATAATCTTTCCTTGGAGCCTGCTGTCTAGGCTACTAGACAGCAGGCTCGTGCCATAATCAATATGGCAGCTACCGTTGCCAAGTGGGACTGATAGGACTCGACCTGCAAGGTTACTCAGGCTGCCTCACCTGGATGATTTCAAGCTAGTTATTGCTGGGCGAGTCCCCTCACCCACATGTTGCATTATCTCACAGGATCAGGAATTAGGACTGTTTTTTTTTATCAGAGAGAGAAATTAACTTCCTAGATGCAGTCGTGATGCATGCTCAATCATCCAGGTAAGTAAATCTCCAAAAGCTGATTTTCATTGCAGTCAGCTGAGACTGAAGAAGTCACCTGGATGAGTGACGAAATGTTTCTCCCACAAAATGCTACGTCCTGATGAACAGAATCAACTTTTGGAGATTCGCAGGTTTTTTTGTGGGCCTTGCAGATCGACCAAAAACAAACCAACAAAAAAAATACAGTGAAGCATTCAGTGTTTGAGTAAATGTAAAATATGATAAAACAAACTAAAATCTCACACAGGAAAGTGACAGAACCCAGATCATGTGGAGCTTTTTACTGGGACACGCTTAAAAGAAATCTCTTCAGTGTTGTGAAGGAGAAAAAAATCCAGGTCATGTCTGGTTTAATCACATGGTTCATTTAATACTGTCGATACGTGGTTGCTTTAATCATTCACTGCACCTGTTTCTTTATGATTCTTCTATTGTGGGGTTTTTGTGTGTGTTTTTGCAGAATTAAGGCAGTTTTCTATTTTCTTTCATTGCAGGGCATCTGAACTCTCAGGGCCACCGTAGCTGGGCTGTTGGATACAAAATATCCTAATTTCATGCTGACTCTATCCTACCTGTGGGTAGGATTTTGTACAAAAATGTCTTTTGTTTGTTCTTTAAACATGAAATTTTAGTAATTCATCCTGGAATGAAGTGTGTGGAGGGCTGAAGCCATCAAAAAGAGTCTGATAGGAAACAAACCACAAAACCAAAAAACATGTTCCAGATATATCAAAGGTTTTTGTAGGACGAGCAAATGGTGTCAGCTTTTAAATCCTTACTTCATTTTTCATTTGTCTGTTTATCCTGTTTATTTTACCTTCAAATGTGCTGTGTTATTTGCTGAAGTGTTTTCCAGTCGGCTGACAGTATGGAGGAGAGAGTTTCAGCAGTGAGTGTCTGCAGCCCTCTGCAAAACACGGTGGAAGTGTTGTCATGGTTTGATGGCTTCATCAGAAAAATGAAATTATTAATGAGGAAAACTATAATTAGATTTTGATCATGCATGCATACCATGAATGCACACTATCGTGTGTGTGTGTGTGTGTGTGTGTGTGTGTGTGTGTGTGTGTGTGTGTGTGTGTGTGTGTGGAAAGACAGAATGCTTTCATAAACATTTCCATTTGTGGCCTGTAGGTGGAGCCGCTGCGCCGCGGCTGCAGGAGGGGGCGCTGTGAGAAGAGGCGGACAATGCTGGGCGAGGAAACGGGGATGTGCAGAGAAGAGAGCACTTTGTTTAAAGCAGGATGCACAAAGATTGATTTTAATGGACGAATAGAAATGATGATGATGATGATGATGATGATGTGTTAGCACATATCAGTTTTTAATCAGTTTGCTGTTCTTATGGCGCGAGGACGCCCTAATAATCTAACAATGTTACTGCAGCATCTATGATGAATAATGTTATAGATGCTGCAGTCATAATCAAGCTTTGAGTTATTATTACTGTAATAAATGTAATAATATTCATAGATCCGGGTCTTAATTCACATATTTTGACCGGTTTATGGCACAATTTTATTTTGGATGCATTTATCCAAGTGTGATGAATGTAACGTTGATATAGTTGAGTTCATTTTATCTTCTGACCTTCGCACCACAAACAGTCTGAGAAATAAAATACACTCGAAGTGTAGTGTAAGGGACTTCAGTGCAAAGAAGGAGCTGCAATGTTTGTTTTTAGTTTCGTTATTTATTCATTTATTTATTTATTTACTCGATTTCAACACAGATTTGATAGAAAATCTAAAATAATAACCGTTTTTGATCATAATGATCATAAATCATAATGCTGGGGGAGTTAAACATTTCAAAGGCCGGTTCTTAAACGGCACACTTTACCGGAAACCTTTGATCCTGAAACGCATTTTTATTTTCATGAAAATATAACCAAGACAAGGACAGAACTGTGCGTGAAGCTGCTGAGCCTCTCTCCCTGTTCTCCCAGCAGGTGTGAGCACTCTGATGGAGCTGGAGGCCCTGCCATGCCAACGAGGGCTGTTGGCCCTTGCCACACCCACTTTCCCTCTTTGCCACTTTTAATGTATTTTTTATGAAATAAACTTTTTAAAATGCGTGACTAGGCTAAACGCGAGGTTTGAGGTGAAATGCGCTCTTAAGGTTGCACGGAAGCAGTCGTGGGTGCTGCAGTGCTAAGTGAAGGGGGCTGATGCTGGGATAGTGCAAAAGGAGGGTAAAATGAATAAAAGTGCATTTTTTTCGAGGTTAAAGTGTAAAATACTAATATATGAGATTAAAGTGGATTTGATACAGTGTTCATGCTTAGTGATTTTACTGAAAATCGATTTGAGAGAGTTGCCTCTGAATATTCAAATGGTAAGTAACGCGCAATCAAATCATTGTCAAATCATTGAGTTCTAGGGGTTTTAAATAGAGGGAATGGAGGGAGAAAATCTCAAACTAATATGTCCCCAGCTCTATTACAATCATTCTGTATGCTCTGGCTCTGCTGTAAGACATTTGTGTTGCTATTTTTGGAGACTTTTGCAGAAATTTCGTTCTTGGCCATTTTGCTGAGGCAGAAAAGGACATTGTTGAGTCCCTCAGCTCTTCTCCAGGAATCATCTCTCCATCCCAGCCATCATGTCCGGTGAGTTTCACCTCGGATTTTCTTCAGGAAATCATTTTCTTGCATTTTTCCCTGTTTGGAAGACAAAGGAGGGGGGGGGGGGGGGGGGGGGGGGGGGGTGTAATGTAGAGTTTATTGGAAATATTGAAAGCACACGATTTGTGTGTTTAAGTGGAGTGCTCACCCCCCATAAATGCCCACTTCTTCCCATATTTAAATTAAAGTAGAATGGGCTAGATTAAACTTCCACGTGTAGAATAACTTTAATGCCACCTGATTCCACCTGTTTGTGTAGCGTTCTCCACTCAAAGACTTCTCCAAGCTTCACTGGCGTTTATGGCTTTACTGTGTGTTATAGTTCTGCCGACTGTCGTCTGTCGACGCACATCAGGACGCGCAGATGATCATTTTTAAAGATCATTTTAAGTTTGGAAAAATTCAACTGGAAGTCTCGCGGGCTGTGTGGTCGGGCTGTCTGTGCGCAACAGGGTGTTCTGTGTGTTCGAGTGGGATGTGTCTGCCTTTCGTTTTGGCCAGCGTCTGCCACATTTAAGACAAATCATAAAGTAGCATTTCTCTGTATGAATATTTATCAGATGAGGTTTCATCTCTTAACACATTCTCTAAAATGTTCGCAGCCCTGAATGCTTTAAATATCGCCTTTAGGCCTAAATCGCCCGCACCTATACGAGACGTTCTTTCACCGTATCTTAATCAAGCTTCAAGTAAGGAAGAAAAAAACTGCCAATTACTCCCATTGCCTTTAACTGTCAGGCGTTCGTGGTGGGGGGCAGGGGTGATTTGAATAAAGTAACGGAGATTGGTGTAGAGCTCGGGGTTTTGAATTGTAAACAGCACCGGGCTGAAATCGCCTCGAAATTTTTCCATAACGACCTGATCAAACTTTCACTAAGTGACCGCGCACGTGCACCACGCGGGAGGCTCGTTTCCTTGAAAACTGCAGCGCTTCGATCCAAAAGCGCAGATCAGCGGCTCCTTCTAGTTTCGAAATTTTGTTCCGTTTTGGTCGCGGATCGCTTTGCTGACTCTTTGTCTGCGCGCTTCAGCTTTAACCTCATCCCACCGTGCCAGACAAACTTCTCTTTCATCTCCTCGCCTATTTTTATTTACTTTACATTCATTCGATCGTATATGCGTAATAAAATCTACTTACTTTAACGCGTTAAGAGCCGATTTCTTCTGCCTCTGACTGGGGCGTGGCAGCTCAGGGCTACAGGGTGCAGTGAAAACGTCTCCCGACCGGGAGGCTCCGGGGAGGGGATCAGCCGCCAGTAACACTCAGAAACACTGAGCGGTGGAAACGACCTTTACGCACCGGTGATAAAATAGGATCTTTGGATAATTCAAAGCACTTCGTTATATTCTTTTACAAAATCTTAAAAGACAATCTTTCAGCAGTTTATTAGAATGAAGCGACACTTCATGGAGCGATTTCAGTTTACTGGAAACAAAATAAGCTGTGATGTGTAAGAAATGCTTTGTGGTGCTTTACTGGAGGAGCAGGGAGAGGGAGGAGAAGAGTGCACGACTGGTTTAGTTTGCTTTAAGAGGAGATTACTGCGCATGAGTGACACACTGTGCTCTTCATTAAGATCAACTGAAGGTGTACCCGGGGGTCCGGGTGAAGATCACGGTCAAGGAGTTGCTGCGGAGGCACAGAGAGAAGGAGGCCAACAACAAGAAGCTTAATGCGGTAACTCCTCCCTCCCCCACGCCTCTTTACCCTTGTCCCCTGCTCTCAGTCTCACCTTTTTTCTGCTGAGAATACCGCTCTGTGCAAGCCTGCACCTGTAAATCACTGATAGCCCGTTTTATCAAAATAAGCCACTCAACTCATTTACAGGAAAGCAGCCATTAATAATCTGGTATCGCCTTCCCCCTCCTCTGTATTTCTCTTTCTTCCTGATCAGCAGATGCATCAGGCTTGCTTGGAACTACAGGAGCTTCGCGCGTCCACTTTCCAAAGTAGGTTTGTCCACCCAGTGTGCTAAAATACATCCCAGAAAGACACACATGCACTACAGCGGCCTGCCCTAAGCGTCACAGTCTGATGATCTTAATCAAGTTGTTTGTTTGTTTGTTTGTTTGTTTGGGGGGTCAAAAATTCTGTAAAATAAACATATAAATATGCATCAATTATTGAGGACGCCTTTTTCAGTTGGACGGGGGGCAAGAGGCATTCAGATTTCAGAGGGGTGGAGTTCCACCGTGGTCTCTCAGACCACGCCCTTTCAAAGTGGTCGCAGATATATCCTAGTCCGTGATTAAATGATAGGCAATGATTAACCCAGAGCGTGTGGTTCGCTTGTTTTCATCGCATGTGTTTGTATTCTGGATATTTTCGGTCTGACTGTTACACTGAATCTCGGCAGGTGGCCATGTGGCTCCTCCTCCCTCTGTCCCCCCAGCTGAAACCAGCAGCTGCGGGTCGCTGGCCCTCCAGCTTCGAGCCACCATCTCGTTTCCAGTCCCTGACAGCGCGTGCAACATCCAGATGCAGGAGTGCGGCATCCAGGTGCAGCAGCAGCAGCAGTTTGGGGATGTGATGTTGCCCGGCAACGGATACGGTGGTACCACCTACGACACCCCTCTGCCTCCTTTTCCAACCTCCCCTCAGCCTTGGTACCACGGACTGTCCTCAGATGCGGACTACTACGGCCAGGGGATGGTAGGTCTCAGCTGGCACCAACGAAACACCGTCATTAAAGAAATAATCAGAAACTGGGATTTCTTAAAACTTTTGTGACAAAACGGAAAAATTTCCTAGTTTTTCTGTTTGTGACCAAAATTGAAAGATTGTTTTAAAAGCATACGAGATACGAGCAATAGCAATGCGTTTATTTGGAACAGAGGTTTGGTGTGGTGGTCGTTTATTTCCACAAACACTGTCAGTGTCTGTGTTCAGCATGTAGTGGATAGGTTTGTGTGGATATATTTGAAGGAGCTAGTCTTGCTTTGACTGTGATTACAGCTGTTTGTGTTTGATAAAATGACCTGTCTGGCAGGATAAACAGCTGCATGTCAGTTTTGTAAGCTGTCTGCACACAAATGAATGCATTAAATCAAAAACACCACTCACAAGTGTTCCTGGTGAGCCCTGGGCCTAGCTTTGGTTGGATGACCACCATGTGGCACACCTGCAGTCCTGCCCAAAGTAATTTCGATGTCCTCCTCTCTTTCAGGCCCCTTGCTCCTCATTGGAGTCACTGACTTTCTGCAACCCTGTGGATCCCAACACTTATTCCCCACAGGACTCCTTCTCTTCCTCCTCCTCCTCCTCATGCTATGACTCGCCCACCAGAATGGAGTCAAGCTTCAGCCCACAGCAATACCACTATCAGCACTGTGGCCCCCAGGAATATTACAGCTTGCCACACTGTTGGTCAGGCCAGCAGGAGAGCCCCCCCACCCCAGAATGCGCACCTTACTTTGCTCCCACAGACTATCCCCAGGTGTATCCTGTAGAAGACAGCTGTTTCCAGAAGGATTTCCCGCTGAGCTCTGAGATGTGCTACAATGCTTTATGATGAGACCATGAACAGTATTACTTTGTATCCTGACTGTAAATACGATTTGGCTCAGTGAGGTTGTTTGCTTTGCATTTCACTTGGTCTGCTTTACTTTAATCAATTCATTTGTAATAAAAACTAAATGATATATTTTCATACGCTAATGTTTTGCTGCACAAAATAAAAATGTGTAAAAGTCAGCACTGTGCTTGTAATGTGCGCTTGTCTATTGCAGAGTTTCCACTGTAAAAGTCGGGATGTTTGCTTCAGCCAGCAGGTTCAGACTTCACCCTGTGAACATGCCCTGTAGCCACAGGTAACAAATAAAAGTGAAAAATGTGGGAAGAGTGTGAAAGTAAATATCACAGGCTGATAACATGTCAGGGCTGAACTCAGCTGTAACGCAACAATTGGAAATGAAGGCAAGGAAACATCTGAGATTTGACTTTGGCCTGCAGGGCAGTATTTCACTGGGAGTTCAGAGATCAAAGGAGAACAGATTAACAGACAAGCCGACTCACAGTGGCTGCAGCTCAGCTAACAGAGCAGGACGTCTGCTAATCAGAGGGTTGGTTTGGCTTTTTCAAGAATGCTTGAGCTCCGAGTTGTCGCGTAATGCTGGAGTCGCTGTGTGTGAATGAGACTGGTATTTAAAAAGTACTTTGACTCCTCAGACAGGTGTCAGTCCATTTATCTGATTTTTTCAACAAACTCTCAATAATTTCTCCAGACTGTGAAACAAGCACTGTTGAAGCTGCAACCCCCTCTTATTATACTTACAGATTTTACACGGAGCTCAGCCAGTTTATTAGGCTACCTGTCAAAAAACAAGAAATTCAGTAAATGGACTGATTTTCTACTCTGAGCACTCTTGTCCTGTTTAGTGCTTTCGATCTCACACACACACACACACACACACACACACACACACACACACACACACACACACACACACACACACACACACACACACACACACACACACACACACACAATGTTAGTAGGTGAGCTGCTCTCCCACCAGAGCTACAGCCACCGTGTAACTGACCAGTGTGGATTATTACACTTAATAGTCACTCACTGCTTAATATTTGCATTACCTCAAGTTTCCCCTCGTGCAACACTGAAGTAATGAATATTTAATAACAATTTTTCATGTTGCATGAAAATGGGAAGAAAAAGAAATAAGCTTTTTTAATGCCTGACCGATTTTACTTGAGTTTATCTAGAGCAGGCCTTTGGCTCAGTGTCACGAATGATTATTAGATACATAAAGCAGCTGCCAAACTATGTAAAACATCTTTCTGCTGCTATCTTATGTCTTTAAAATGGCAAGTTGAATCTCGTTATGAAAGCGGATGCGTGTGTTTGGTAATTTGTGGACAGTTTGTTCTTGATTCTTTGTGCCAAACTTAATCATGGAGCATGGAAAAGGTTTTCCAAGTATTTGTCTGCTAAAACAGACAAACAAAAGAAAGAAATCATAAAAGTCTGGATTATTTTGTGACTTCCTGGTCGCACTTCCAACCTAGCTCACTTGAAACTAGTGTCTCAAACTAACACAATAAACGAGGAGTGCGTGCTCCAAAGATCCTGTTGGCAGGCATCCCTTTCACTCCCGCTGAGCCAGCATATGTGGAAATCCCCTTGGAGACACTTGACGGCAGCTGATAAGTGTGGAAAAATAACCCAAAACATTTAGGCTGGAGCAGAGCGCCGCAATCAGCTTTATTAAGTGGCAGTGGCATTTCTGCATGCCGACAAAGACAAAACTTTATATGCCATCATATTCCAGGAACCACGATAACTTCTACCAGTGTAAAGTCTTTATCCATTTACAAGCTAAATGTGCAGGAAACCATTGTTCTCTTAGTTACTGAGTTACAGGATGTGAGTGTGTCCACGCACTCTGCACGGCCCAACAAAGACACCGTGCCAACTCGTCCAAGTGCAAAGAAAACACATGGGAAGTCCGCAATCCTATACTTTATGTTTTTTGAATCTTGCCTCTGGCATTTGCCATAAATCATCATAAGGAATCTGGACTAAAAGTGAAATGAATGAAAAAAGGAACTATTTTCAAACAAAAACTGTAAGCAAGAAAAAACACCCTGGAAGCTAAAACCTGTGATAACTGCACAGTGTGGGCTAGTTAACACTATCACCAGAGTCGATAACTGTAAACAACAGGCTCCATGTTTTTCTTCTGTCGAATCCTCATCGTCTAATATTATAATAAGAACATTTTAATCGATAAGTATGACCCACGCTTACACAATGTGAAGGAAAAACAACAGCAAAGAGAAGAAAGTGATGCACATCCATCTGTCCACAGACGCACTGATGTTTCTATAAACTGAACAGTTTAGTTGTTGGAGTTTACTTTGGCTTCTTTTTTCAGCCCTGGGGTTGCAGCTTATATTTAACTGGTCCAGTATTATTCATACTGGGGATCAGGTTTAGACGCGTTGTCAGAAACCCTTTTTTTAAGGTAAGGTAATGAACGCCACTTTAGGTGAAAGTGCTCAGGCACATATAAAAGCACTGTATGAACGTGATCAGGTGAATGCGACTCGTGGTACGAAGTGCTCTGAGGGCCTAAAGTGAGTAGAAAGAAGTCGCAGTTTTGCTCTCTTTAGTTTATTTTTATAGTCTTTTGCTCTAAGGTGGAGCTGCTGCATCCACCCATGGACTGCTTCTTTACACACCTGTTTCTCACCGACATGGTGACAGCCAGGCCTCCTTGGTCGTCCTGTCTCCTGCCCTTGTGCCTGTGTAACCTGTTTTCTTTGCCAAGTTGTTCTCAGAAATCACCGAGCTTCTTATTGCTGAGTAACGTATGCACCATCAGCCACTTCTCCCAGTTTTGCCGTCCCAGCTCAGTCTGTTGCAAGAGGAGCAACTTACACGCTCTCCACCTACGATCAGTAACTGTGACTGTATCAGGAGTAAGTGAGCATGCTTGCACATGTTTGTGTGTTAAGTTCAGTTTTATCTAAAGAACGCCAAATCAAGAGTAGTCACCTCACTCCAAGCCTCTCCTCAGGCTTGGGGTGAGATTTTATCCAGATTCCAGTCATTTTTGCCTCTTGTGTAAAGGAAAGTCGGAAAAGAAAACAGAGGTATGACCCTTCATATCTCGTTTGTCTGACAGCAACAGACACAAAATGCACACAAAGTCTCCTCTCCTCCGCCTACAGCATGTTACACATGTGGCTGACCACATCATGGTGTCCGTCCACTGGGTCGCTTGCCTATATTTTAATGACACACTTGTAAAATCCTCATTTTTAGACCGTGCATCAAGAAGGAGCTCTAGTGAAACAGTCTGTGCCAAATCAAAATGTGAATAAAACATTGGCCTGTTTTTTGACCTGTGCTGTGACAGTATGGTGACCTATAAACGCCGGTCTAGGTTTCAGCCTCTTTGTGAGCCTGAATAAGTGAAGGTATGGATGTTGTTTTGCTTTGCTGGATGCATGTGTTGCTCCCAAACCTGCAGCTATCATTCAGCAACGATATGGAACAAATGCATCACTGATAACAAGCTGGGTGGTCTCTCTGCTCTTCAGTCTGAAGGTCGTCATTCACAAATCAAATTTAGGAGAAGCTTTTCTGGATCTAGAAGTTTGAGAGCAAAGCAGAGGTACTGCTTACTGAGCCAGTGTAAAACCTGTTTGTCTGTCATATTATTTTCATTGAATTTCAATAGTGTTTGGATGATTTTCACGTCACTGCATTATGTTTTGGTCTTTTTAACCTTGGCTTTTCTGGAAAACATAAGCACACAACATCTGGAGTGTGCTCCAATGAGCCTAATCAAACAGGCGCTTCACAGCATGTTTCAACTTTGTATCCCTCTTTGAAGGTTTAAGATGAGATTTGTTGAGTAAACCGGGTGTGTGTCGACACAGTGCTTCTTTTGTGCATGTTAATGTTTAAGCAACAGTAACAACAATCATCCAATTGTCAGACAGGACAGATATGAACACATTTTTAAACCTGGTGTAACATTAAACTTTGGCCACGGACTGTTATCACGTAACGTGTGGTGGTGTGCACAGCTTCACAGTGTTTCGCAACGGCCGATAAGGGAGTCTTTGCTGTTGTGTTCGTATCAGAGGTGTTTCTTTATTGAATAAATCAAGGGCTGTTTTCACTCGTACTTGTTTTCTGAACAATAAACATCCAGGCCTGATAAGAGAAACAGTGAATAGGTCAGCAGGTCAAACACCATGCAGCTGTGCAGAGAAAGTGACAACAGAGTCCTGTTTACTCAACAAACAGATGCTAAGTGAAGGAAGCAGGTCGGTCAAGACATATTTTCCACATAAACAACTTATGTGAAAACAACCATAAAGTCACTGAAGAGCTCTTTCTATGTTTCCTCTGCTGAGCAGGATTGTTAGTCTAATGGCTTCTTTACTCACCTGATAGAATCAGCGAGTGGTGCTACGGCACAACAGCCTCAGAGGAAAAAGCTTCATGTTGAAACTTCCATGGAAAACACAGAGAAAGTCAGACTGGAGCCGACTGGTTTTCCACAATACTCACTGGGGAATGATCATGAATGCAAATTTAATGTATTTACACACTGCACATGAAACAAAGGCAAACACACACACAGTTGTTTGACTTCACCCCCTCATCCCCGACATTAAACCTCTGCCTTCATGGTCCCTCTTATTTAATTACCACAGAGACGTCTTTAATGTGTGACAGCTGCTGAAAACAGTTACGACAAAACAGACAGAGGCTTCTCTCAGTCTCCTCAGCTTTTCCTTTATGGGCTCTTATCTTCGTCTCTGGTGGTTTTTCAGTGTTTAAGACTAACCTTCACATCTAGTTGACTCTGGGAGCTGGAAGAACAGGCCTGAGCACGACTGCACTGGTTCCAGTACCCTTACAGCTGGTGATGATGCACCTCGTGCAGAGGGGGCTGTTTGTTTTCTCAGATCAAAACTAAGATAAGCGTCCAGTGTGCAAGCAGTAAAAGTAACAATAACTTAGCATGTAGGGAGTGTTTTCTGTCCTCGCCTGCAAAGCTGTGCAGAACCTAACCTGCCAAGAAATGAAAATCACTCAGTGAAAATTAAATACACCTCTTTAATTTTCGATTTATTCATTTCTTTGTGTGTGTGTGTGTGTGTGTGTGTGTGTGTGGGTGTGTGTGTGTGTGTGTGTGTGTGTGTGTGTGATC